TCCTAGATTCATACTTCATACATTCCATGTTCCAATGATTAATGGATGTCTGCAGCTGTTTCTCTTCAATTTGAGTGGTACCACATCAGCAAATGGAGGTCTTGAAATCTTTACCTTATCCACAGGACGAAGGCTGGATTTACTCAGATGATGCAGCTCTTTCCCAGTCCTATTTTGGGAGCCTTCTAACCTAACCGGACTATTCATAAAGTTGCACAGTAATGTATCAAACAGTGTTTCTTTGCTATTCATAAGGTTTTCCCTGGCCAATTCTTTGAGAAGTGGACGGCATTTCTTATTATGTAGTGTATTATTTAGGGATAAATCAATAGTACATACTTTTCCAAATGTTCTGTATTAACTGTTTATATACTATAAAGAATACTTGAGTTTTGATTCATTTGAGTGTTTTCAGGCATTGAAATATTTCTTAAGTGATTAAAAAAAGGAATTTAACTTCCACCTATTATCTTTATTTGACTAAGTGAAAAACAAAACTATTTTTAACCAAACAGGAAACTCAGATAAAACCCTAGAATTCCTTAGGTATGCCTTCGTTACTCTGGAGAAAGGCTGAAGAGAGGAGAACGGGATCACTGAAGTGGTCGTGGGAATTTAAACTATAGTTTTAATTTATTTCTTTTAAAAAGATACCCACTGTGGTCAATTTGATTCCAACTCACAGCATCCCCATTTGGGTTTTCAAGGCTGTAAATCTTTCTGGAAGTAGACTGCCCCATTTTCCTTGTTTGGAGAACATGTCAGGCTGATATGAGATTGTATCCCAAAGGGTGGAGGAATTAAAAGTCTTTTGGGATTCAAGTACCCTCTCCCCTTTTGTAAGACCAAGTTTGCGTGTAGGTTAAAAAACTGGCACAACTATGTTGAACTACCCTTGGAAGGATTAAAAGTCATCTACATGAAAGTGGTAGCCATGTCTCTGGTATGTGATCACTCAAAAACCACTAGTTTTCCTTCTTCACTTACCTTCCACAGCAGTGCAACACATACTCTGTATTTGAGGTAAAATCTCTTCATTGTTCTTTTCCAACATGGCCCCTCTTCAGCTTCATTTTCTATTTTATTATTCAGTTTCCTCCACCTTAACTTTTCTGTCCTGATAACCTTTTGCTGAGTCCATTCCAACTCCCGGCGACCCATGTGTTTGAGTAGAATGTGCTTTCCAGGGTTTCCAAGGGCTGACTTCTTGGAAGGGAATCACCAGCCCTCTCTTCTAAGGCCCCTTTGGGTGGACTCCAATCTCCAACCCTTCAGTTAACAGCCAAGCACATTAACAGTCTGCAGTATCTATATCTGTCCCCATATTCTGCACTTACTTCTTTCCTATATATCCTTCAAGCCCAGCTCAAATTCTACCTCTTAAATAAAGTATTCTTGAAAAAGCCCGACACCTTCACTTCTCTGAACTCTTACTGCTCATTAAAACCAGTGTCAAAGAGTTGACTATTTTTTTGTTTATATTTTAAAAGTTACTTTAAATCATTTCTTACAAAATACATTAATACATTTCCCTTGTTTTAAAGAAGTAC